TTTCAAATCTAAATTTTCACCGTGCAATGCCGGGTAACTCACCTAGTATATATATATATTTACAAACATGCGCATACTGATTATTGCTTTTGTGACCCTTAATACTAGTTTTAAATGCATTGTTGATTGTGCCTGAAAATTATATATCTCACAATAATAAATTCCTATCTATAATTTCTTGAAAATCAAAAACAACTATAGCAAATAAGTAAAAGATCATAGATAATTTCCTAACCATAGAGGTTAACATGAATAAATGAATTCACCACTTTTATCAATAGATCAAACTTCTGAAAGGATTTAAGGGAAAAACACAGCAGCTTGGAAATGCTGAAAAGTTCCTCAGGCAACTGTTAGACATAACTAAGTGAGTACTGTCGTTATACTAAGTTTATTCTCAATTATTTAGTTTTGATATCTTGCATAATAAAGTATGTTTAAACTATAGGTTTCTTGTAAAGATATATTATGTAAATATTTTCTGTTTCGCTTTAATATGTCTTGAAGATTTTGCACATTATGCCACATCTAGGAACACACTAAAGCTTGGAGATTTAATTTTACTTCAATGCAAAATTTGCGAAGCTAAGTGAAGAATAATAATTTTGATGTGATTTTATATTTAATATTGAAGAACTTATACCTCTATCGAATTAAAAAATGAATCATAAAATATATTTGTAATTTAATTTCAGAAGTTCAGATATCAAGAAAGAGTTACGATAAAGTTGAAAGTGAATACTTTTTATTTTATATCTAAGTCTGTAAAAATTCATAAACAAGAATAAAAAACATTAACAAGCTTTGACATTTTCTAAATACCTAACTTTAACACACTAGCGAATCCCTAAAAATGAAAATTACTATTATAATTATACATTTTTAGAATTTTTGTTTACATTTCTTCGGAGTAATTATTGTCGTGAAGTGGATAATATCACTTTTTAATATCTTTAATTTCAGGATATTCTTGAAAAACGAATAGAAACATGATAAATAATGCAAACTTGAAGTAAACCTCTGTTTTAGCAATCGTAAATTATATATATATATATAATTAAACCCTAAGAATGTAGATCACTCTCACTTGTCACTGTTCAACTGTATTGCATAAACACGAATTCACTAAGCAAGAAAATATGAATAAGATTTCCTTCTTATTTATAAAGTCGAAATACTAATTATCTTTAACATTTTCCCATCAGTTTAGGGTTAAAATAACAAAACTTATATTTTAATGCTCTTAATAATTTGGATCCCTTTGAACACAATAAAATTAGTCTCTGAAAATTTTAGTAGCATATTTGATGCTTTCAGTGCAATACCAGAAGTTGTGTTAATTTATCCGTTTCTTTGTACAATAGTTTGTAGATATTGTTCTATGGTAACTATTCTCGTTCTTCACGATTATGAATTCACAGCTTGATCTTGCTTCCAAGTGGCGTAAGTCTGCTAACTTCTAGTATAGCACGTTTATTATTTGAAGTTAGTGAAGAAAATACAAAAAAAAACAAAAATATTGAGCAGAGTTTTCGATTTCAAGGACGTTCATGAAATGAAACGCGATTACTTTAACAATATTTTATTACTTTGCATTACTTTAGAGAATAGACTTATAATTCCATGAATTGAATTTCAATTAATGTACATTTGTGTATGCTCATTTTAGCATTATATGTTTTTTACACAGTTATAAACTTCGAATCGAAAGCTTATTACTGAAAGAAGAGTTTGATCCGATCATCGTTCCTCTAAAGGATGGACTAGAAACAATCAAACTTGCAGCTCAAGGTAACATGCTATTCTTCTTCACGTTGCTATTATGTAAATATTTAGATCAAATTATTACAACTAATATATGGAAATGGAATATTTATTCTGAACGGCATCCTATACACATTAGTATCATATTCTTCAAAATATTGCCTATATATATTTTTAGGGCTTGAAATGTTCCTGTATTATTCATCTTAATTCCAATGCATGTTTTCTCATCCACATTATCGATGTCGGATACAATTAATCAAACTGATCCTTTATATATCACAGATACCAGTTCATAAACTTATATTTCCACAGGTATGAAACATACCATTTATCAAGAATCTGATATCCTATGCTCTACTTCTCTAATTCATTTAGATCTCAAGGTAGCATTTTCCTAAATATTTGAGTGAATAAATATCACAATATTCCTATCAAATATAAGAGGGGTTATTATTATGACCTAATTATTAAAAACAAAACAAAAACTGGTTTATATTGAGCTTTGCGTGTGCTTTCTATGTTAATTGAAACAATAGGTGTTTGGGGCACTGACTTATTTTAGATGAGCTTTAGTGTTTCCAAATGACTTACTTCGCTTATTATTTGCTAGAAATCAAAAAGAGCCAGAGTCTTCGTGAAATCCTGTATATGGTGCTGATTGCTGGAAATTTTCTTAATGCAGTAAGTTGTTCTTTTTTATAAGGTATTGAATATTACCAGTATTTTTAATAGACATGATACACTAGCAAAAGTAAAAAAACATAAAGTTTATATTGTTAAGTTATATCTATCTGTCAATTTCAGCATTTGTGTTAACGTTTATAGGGCATTTTCTTGTATACTATTGGTCGTCGCCGGTACAAATAGCATAATTTGACTTGATTTTAAATACACCAGTGTGTTCTTACACGACTGCGTCAAAAAAGTGTTCCTTGTGAAATGAATACTAAAAATATCAGTTTTTGGGTTGAAATCCGTAAAGTTTTTTGACACAGATTTTATGTGAGTTTAAAATTAAAATATCCTCACTTATTTCATTTATATTTAAAATAGTGATTTTTGTACGAAATATTTGGATAGTTTCTATTTAATTTCGATTCTAAATTACAAAAGACAATTTGTACAATCAACTGGTGAAAAACGAAAAAGAAACAGTAAAGTAATTCTGCTGAATAATGTTATTAATTCTTCAAATATTTAGCTATACGCATATACGATCTTCATACTACCAATAATCAATCTTTTCGTCATATTATATTTTTGATGATTCTAATACAGCTTTTATCAGATCTGTTTCCGTCTCTTACCATAATCTGGGGACACTGAATTCAGGTGGAACTTAAACCTACATTATTCAAATCTGGCTTCAAACAGATGCTTAGCCGTAATAACGCTTAACGTGTCCCAAAAGCCAACGTAATATTTAGTTTTTTCAGAGTATATTATTAATGTGTCTATAACGTAATAATTACAGAAATTAAAAACTACAGTTAATTTATGAACTACACATAATGTTGTGGGCGTCTCTATACTAACATTGTACAAATATATATTCTCAGCATTCATGGTATCCAGCCTTTTGACATTATCTTTTACTAGTAAATTCGAAAAAGCAATTCATGCCCGACCAGCTTGTGATAACAGTAATGTTTATAGCTGTATTATTGTGCATACTGTGATATCTCACATTGCATGATTCCTCTACATTTGATAAGTAACTAAAAAGATGGTGTCTTGTTTGATGTATCTGTATACTTACTTATCCGTTTCTTCATTTTAGTTCACTTGTGTGGCTGTCTGTTTACCGGCTTAATTATTTTTACCTTACTACCTTTGTTTAATCGTTAAAATTATACACTCTTTTTCAATTTTGAATTGTTAATATATCTTATATTTACATTGCTTTGCCTTTTAGACTTTCGATATTTTAAAACTTTAACATTACGTCTTTATAAAATTGCATGTCTTCATATTTTAAAGAAATTGACTGAAAGTTAAATTAAATTCTTAGCTGAAAGTATTTCAGCATAAATAACTTAAACTCTACTCTCTAGGGTAAATACGCAGGAAATGCAGCGGGTTTCAAGATGATGTCATTGTTAAATTTGACGGACATTAAAGCAACTAAACCAGGAATGAATCTTGTTCACTTTGTTGCACTGGTGAGTGTTTGACAGAGACATACGTTTTCTCACAGTTAGAATATTTTGACAACTTCTTATCTATCATCATTTATAAAGAATCATATACTCTCCAATATTAAGTAATTTTGTTCAATTCATTGATTTTACAGAATTGATTGATTTTACTTTCTAAACATTTAGTTATTACAACCTGAGATATCATTTTTATTCTTATTAATTTGTAAGTTATTGAAATGTAAAATACAGTTTTGTTGAAACAATTCTAATTTGTTTTAACAACTCGAGAAAACTTATGTCCAACCTAGGGCATAATACATATAAAAAAAGAAAGAATGCTGAATTCTGTAATCCCATTGTTTACTTTACACGAAAGATCGAATCTTTATAAACAGTAAATCTTTATTTTTGCATATCTACGCTTAATCAGACATTTTTTTTCTCTCTAACTCTCCTGATAAGGATCAGTTTGATATTAAACAATATTAAGAAGTAGGTGTTCAGGGTCAAATTTATCTAGATCACAGTACCCCTTCCCTTTTTCCTCAAACCCTCCTTTTTTTTTGCAATGAAAGTTTACCCATCAACACAACCTTTATCAAATCTACTGCTTTTAAAATACTTCAGATTTCAACTTAAGAACTTATATAAGAAGGCTGTTAAGAAATAATGTCATACGCTTAATGTCATACGCTCATAGGTAACTCCACCTACTCTGCCTTTCCGTATGTACTAACTGACGAATCAATTACGTTATAAGTATAAACATATTATACTGTTGTTTGAGATATGTGCGGTCAAACAATTATTTCAATATAATAAACATGAGGAAATTTACATTCGTGAGCAATATTTAAAAATAAAATGTTTAGATTTAAATTCATACATTACAATAAGCAAGATTTGTTTTAGATATTTACAGACTAGTAAATAATTGTTTTTATAAAGTAGGCTTTGAAACACACTAATAATCAAATTAGTCCGATAATGTTGTCGTGGCACGACCCGACTATTTGTAATTTAGTTGTACCAATAACAGGATAAGATTTGCTGTTCATTTTAAGGATGTGGCCTCAGATTGTACTTCGCAAAGTTACCAGATCCTTCTTCTGGCACTTAGTTGGAGAGAACAAATATTGATCGGTATATTATTTCAAAGCTTTAGATCCAAAAAGTTTACAAATTAAAAGTCAATAATATACGGTGAAGCGGAGAGCGGACCGCAGGGTCCACGTTTCCACGCTGATATTTCCAATCCAGTTCCCTTGGCTGTGGTTTCGCTAGTTTCCACTTAGTTGGAGAGAACAAATATTGATCGGTATATCATTTCAAAGCTTTAGATCCAAAAAGTTTACAAATTAAAAGTCAATAATATAATCTATATTAGAGTTTTAAAAAAGTAGAAGAATCCAAGATGTTAAAGCCATTATTGGAAAATGCCTAGAATTGTCGGCACCAATACGCGTACATTCACAATGATTTTGTAGCTGCTCTCAACTGACATATCTTATCCTTTTGCATAAACGTAAGAGTTTGAATCATGTCTTGCAATGTTATGCTATATATTTAGAATGATTTTATATTACTTTTATATTCTTACATAGCAAGCAGAAGAGAAGAAACCAGAACTATTAAAATTACCTGATGAACTGAAGAATCTTGAAAACACAACAAAGTAAGTCGGTAGCTAAAGTCCAATGACTCTAACTTTTATTATATTCTGCTCTAACAGAATATTTTAAAGGTATCTGAATATGACAGTTACATCAATGCATGATACGGCTATTGCAAATTACCTATGTATGTGAAAAAAATTGGGTATTTAATTCATATTTTGTTGTATTGTATATTTTATTGAACTTTGTGAATCAGTAAGAACAGTGTATTCTGAAATTTATTTTATACATTGAATCGTTCTTCGAATGAAAGGCAATGCACTGAAATGAAAACGAGGCTGTAAGACAAAATGCTTTATTTAGTCAAAATTGTTGGCTTACAAGTATCCTGTGTCTATTATGTTAAAGTGGTGACCAATAGCTAAAATTAATTACTTGACAACAATATGTTAATTAACTTAAATACCTAATTACCCATATTCATCCAACACCAAAAGTTTATTTAACATTATTAGCAGAAACGTCGACCTACGGGCAGTTGTTTTTGCTAGTAAGTAGTAACTGCAGTATTCATACCTCATTGAACAAATTGTAAAAAAAAAGTGAACATTTTCGAAAAAAAAGTATTCTTTTCTGGAAAGTACTGTGCGGGAAACGTGTTCTGATTGTCCTTTTTAGCCATACGCAACTCATTGCATCAAAATGATTCAATGTACAGAGCTAAAACTTTTCTTAGATTTTTACTGATATAAACTGTAATGTTTTTATGTATTAAAGGTGCTACCCTTTATTGAAAAAACAATAGTTTTAAGAAAACCAGTTTTTTAGTACTACATATAAAAATTACATCAATAAAGATGTAATCAAGCCCTCACGTACAGTCCTATTGAAAATCATGTTCTTGTTGTAAGGAGAGTACTTTTATTTCATATTGTGTTCTGCTGTAAAGAAACAGTTGTTGCATATACCATAGTTATTTTTCTATTTGTATGAATCTTGAACATCCAAAACAGAAATTTTTTATGGATTTGTGTTTGTAGTACCATTCAGTAGATGGCGCTACCTTTCATAAGCCTCAATCACCTCTTCTGGCATTAAGATCTTGTTGTACTTCAGCACAACAGATGGCACCATCGTATTTATTATTTCGGTCACATAGATAGATACATAGACGGACATGACATTACTCCATTATAGTTAGAAGATTTAGCTTAGCCTTGCCAAACATTTCATGCGATGGATATTTAATGAAATTTGTCGAGCTCATGGAAAAATGAAAATAGTTAAAGACTCTTAATGTATACTTTACCCAATATATTTTTCCACATAATGGAAGAACTAAAAGCATGTCTTAAAATTTTCACTTTACTGCAGCTTTTATTAATTACGGAAACTTAAGAATAAACAATCATACTTTTTCCACATTTAATGGTTACATAGTTTGATTGCTCCTAAAACAGATCTTGAACACTCATGTGTTTTGTTTTCAACAGAAATTGAACTACAATAGTACGCAATTTTCTGTGATATAAAATTCAGACTAAGCTAAGCTCGTTTTTATTGTCACCTAAGCTTCTAAAAACTGTTTTGATTGCTGTAAATATTATCTCATAGTAGCTAGACAAATATGCTCGCCTCACATTTCTTTCCATAAAGGATTAAATAGTTTAAGCATTTCTTCTGTAATTTTTGAAATATAGCAGGAAAAAAATCTTAGATAACGTAATTTTCTTCTAGGATTTCTACTGAGGCTTTGAAAGCGGACATAAAAAATCTGAATGATCGAATTAATACACTTTCTAATCAGCTATCAAGCACACACCAGGATATAAAGGACCAAATGGAAAATTTCGTTAACGTAAGTATTTACAAAACTACCTGATCAATCTTTCAGTATTTCAAGATATTGAATTATGTACATCAATTGACGTTTTCTAAATGTAGTAAGCATGCTTTTATGAATGTTTGGTGCTTTTATTATTTTAACCTCAGACAAATTGATTATTATACCTGTTGAATATCACATTCGGGACATACAATGGTTAGAATTATACAGTTATACAATTAAGAGATCACTGTTATGTAAATGAACATAGATTAAGTCCTCAACGTACTCTTGAACTAGTAATGGAACTTAAATTCCAAAGATACTATAATAGAATGTGTAACGTAAGTAAATAAATTTATACTGTTTGGAATATAAAATTTCCATGGTTTGGTTTTCTTTCATCTTAAAAATTATATTCACAGTATAAGAATATTATAATAAAATTATTTGCTTATGGAATATGTATTTTTTCGTTCTTTTGATTTTTCTTTATGTTATTTTCACTTTATACTATAATAATAATAATATTTGTTTGTTTTAAACACGAAGTTCCAGAATGGGCTACATACGCTATGCATACTGCAGGGATCGAGCGCCAAATTTCAGCATTATAATCCCTCAAATTTAGCTCTCAGTCACCGGAGAGGGGGGCAAAATAAAAGTAAAAAAATAAAATAATTAGACAATGCTGAAGTTAACAATATATGACCACTTTTCATGTAACAACACTGATGGCACATCATAATGAAGCTTATAATATTATTCAGATATTTCAGTTTACGTACAACTACCCTAAGTATAACTGGTTACGTTGTTACTGACCAAAATTATAGTTCAATACCACATCTCATGAGATTGGCTCAGTTAAATGTTATTCATACCAGTCGTTTACATAGTATAAAGATTCACAGTATATATAATTGAACTTAGCAAAGTGTGGTCACTTTTATGTGATGCGCAATACATTAACAGCCTTGCAATGAACTTTCATCACACTTTCTATCCTAAATAAAATTAATAATATTGTAAAATAAATGTGTCTAACTATTAAGAGAATTAAATTGAAAGTACTAAACATAAACTAATTTAGTGTAGAGTTAACATTTCTTGTGATCTGGCATTAAACAATAAGCAAGAAATAAAATCAAAATTTTATAATATAAATATATACCTAAAGTAAAAATAATAATTTAATTCTCTCTATCTTTCGTACTTAGTACTTTACCTATAGGTGTAAAGTTATATCACAGTTTCAACCTCGAAATATGTATTTTCTAACTTTGATTCGAACTCTACTCATTAATGCATCAGAAATATGTAGTTATAGCTTAGAAGAACAACTTAATACAGGTACAAACTACGTAAAATAACACTTTTCATAAAGTGTTTTAATAAAAGTATCATAAAAGCAACCACGCTTTCAATTTCTTTCCTTTTCTTTTTCATAAATTCCCCAATGGTTTTCTTCGGAGTATAAGGGAATAAGACAATATATATATGTGTCATGAAAAAAATATTATTTGCGTAATATGCCTTATAAGTGCATCAAACTACCTCAAGCAATTTCACACCAAAGTATTTCAAGTTTTATTAAAAGCACACAACACAAAGAAAGAAATAAAATAAATTCCACATGTAAAAAAAGGTACATCTGTGTCTTTTATCCTATTTTTTTTCTTTGCAATCATTAAATATACATGGCACTATCTGGTTAATAATGGATTTCTTATAAAATAAAATAGATTAAATTTCTACTGGTTTAAATTCCACACTCATGTTCGACTAACCTGTATTTTTGAATTAGACTGTTGCTTTTTGTTTTTGTTCTTATATTTCCAGTAGAGTTTACAGGGTGGTTTCTCAATGTCTGTGAAACATCTTATCTTCGTTTTTGGCCACAGATGCATTAGCTTATAACAATTTAGTAATTTCTACCCAAGTTTTTAAAGAAAGGTTTATATGAATGTTATTCGTCTACTTAGGGTCCTTAGAACTGTGTGTTGAATTTTTACAAAATTTGAAAATAATTTCACCTTTGAGTGACTTTCTTTGGAAAACTTCCTATTTTATCCGCTCTGTTAATCGTTCTAGACGTTCTTCGTGTCAGAATATGAGTCAGTATCAGTTGTCTAGATGATTTCTCAGCTGTCTCTCAACAATTTTGTTGAATAATCTTGCGTATCTTCTTTCTTTTTTTATGAGATTGAGTACGATAATTTTATACTATTATTTTCTATTTTTGAAATTGAGTGTATTGTACCATTTTTTTAATTTGATTTTTTTAAACAAGCCCAGTGGTTAACGTGATAGGCTACAGATCAGAAGGTTCAAGACTCGAGCAGCGATATTATACTAAACGATACTTTTAATAGTGAGAAAGCTATAACTACGACAGTCAATCTCAATATTTGGTTAAGAGTAACCGTGTAAGCAAATGTTGTTGATTGATTGCCCTCCCTCTGCTCGGTAGTTCTTGTTTTTTGTTTCGTTTTTCACTAACCGCTTAGCCCATGAACCATACAAGATAACAATGTCCCAAATCAACAACCTTAACGTATACAGCTTTATAGCAGATATATAAGTTCTCTCAAGGTACTGCTTATACTTTTCTTCAGCTTAACATGCACCTCTTTTTTTCTAGATCTTCATATGACGATGAAATCAAAATATTTTGAGGTAATTTTGTGTAAGATAACAGAGTGAGATGTTCCAATTCCTCATCAAGATCTATATAAGTATTGTTTTCCCTTGTCACTCTGTTATTTTAGAGTTACTGATAATGATTGGTAACTCACCAAGATCTATATCAGTCTTGTTTTCCCTTGTCTTTTTGTTATTTTAGAGCAACTGATAAGGATTGGCAACTCACCAAGATCTATACGAGTCTTGTTTTCCCTTGTCTTTCTGTTATTTAAGAGCAAATGATAATGATTGGTAACTCATCAAGATCTATATGAGTCTGGTTTTCCCTTGTCTTTCTGTTATTTTAGAGCAACTGATAATGATTGGTAACTTATTAAGATCTATACCAGTTTTGTTTTCCCTTGCCATTCTGTTATTTTAGAGCAACTGATAATGATTGATAATCATTCTACTTTATCTGTGTTAGTTGTATTAGTTATGATGGGGGTCATGCTTTCAAACAAATAACAACATGGTTAGCCTTTTATTCGTTATTCCTTCTACTCACCTAGAAATAATTCTCCGATTGAATCATATAACCTTCCCAAAGTATTTTATTAACATATTATATTATTTTTTCATATACCGAACATTTAAAAGTGGTCTCGTACCTTGTGCAAAAGTGGTCCCAAATTTCTAGTCACATTCTTCGGTTTATCCTGACATGTTTTCCAAATGCTATTTTTTAGATTTATTTTTGAAACCTAGCTTTTATAATCGTTTTCATCTTCTTAGAATTTTTAACCACATTTTCCACCTTTGTGTCTGAGTCTTGGTTATTTTAGAGCAAAGCCACATTGTGCTATCTGCTGTGTCCACCGCGTGTAAACGTACCCCGGATTTTAACAATGTAAATCCGTAGATTTACCGTTGGTTTCTGAGTCATCACTTTATTTTTACATCTTTAAAAATGCCTTTCTGTTTTAGTAGACCTTCTTAGACCTGTAACAACGTTCATGCCTATCTTATCGGTTTCGCTGGATTATCTAAGATTTGTTCTTGAATTCTGAATCATATTCACTTGCAAAGTTTAATATTTTCGTTTAGACTTTTTGGCCTAGGCCTAAGCTAATCTTGCGTTTGAGTAAACTCTGAACAGAGGAAAGGTTTATATAATGCAAAAGTTAAAAGATGTCTGTAGATCAATCGTACAACACCGAATTACAGGGAACAATTAACAATGAAGAAGATGATATATTACATAACTTATAATAAAAATTGTGTTAAAAATTAAAATTAAGAAGATGCTACTAATTAACAGTATATTGAAATTTTGGAACATCATTTGTATCTTTTACAAGAAGTCCTTTGTTGTGATGCACAGGCTCTAAAAATAATATACATATGTGTCACACACTGTTTTAGGTTGATCTTCGTTTTGCCCTTCTTCTGTTAAATCTTCATAAACACACACTCACAAATTTGTGACGTTTGTTGTTGTTTTTCTCTCTCTTAATTTTCTACATAAAACCAAATACATAATTTCACTTTTAAATGTTATCTCGACATCAGTTTTAGTGTAGTAATTTTGTGTGAATAATATTTATGCTATTTTAGGATGCAAAGAGAAAGGTAGAACAAATTTCTGAAGAAGCCGAAAAACTGGAAAATGTTCAAGTAGACTTGGCAGAATTTTTGTGTGAAGACGTTGCCACCTTCAAACTTGATGAATGTTTCACCGTGTTTCGAAGTTTTTGTCAAAAGTTTAAAGAAGCCATTGAGGTAACATAATGTAACGACATCCACTGTCTTTTTTTATAGTGTTTTCCTTGTTGAGATGGTTCACTTCATTGTTTGTTTCTGAGGTTTCTTTTCTTTTCTTTTGCTTTTGATGTATACACCTGGAAAAAAGTTAAGCACCCCCAAATATTTTTCAGGATTGCTTATTG